CAGAGGGTGCCCAGGCGGGTGGGTGCTGTGTGCGTGGGTGCCGGGGTGGAGGGGTGGCCGTCTGGGTGGGTGCCCCGTGAGGGGCAGGGTGCCCGTTTCGGGGGGTTCCCCTCTGGGTGTGCACGCAGGTGGGTGCCGTGTCGGTGGGTGCCTGGAGAAGTGGGTGCCTGCACGAGTGGGTGGCCGCCAGCAGATCCAAGCTTCACCCCCACGGGGTCCTGCAGGTGTTTCAGAACCCCCCTCTTCCTCCTTCTCCTAGTATCGGGTCTGAAAATCCCCCTTTTCACCCCCAATTTTATGCCTTTTCATCACCTCTCCGAGGAGGCTGTAGCGAGATGGGGGTCGGTCTCTTCTCCCAAGTAACAAGCGATAGGACGAGAGGAAATGGCCTCAAGTTGTGCCAGGGCAGGTTTAGGTTGGATATTAGGAAAAATTTCTTCACGGAGAGAGTGGGTAGGCAGTGGCACAGACTGCCCAGGGAAGCGGTACAATCACAGTCCCGGGAAGTATTCAAAAAAGGTGTGGATGTGGTGCTTAGGGACGTGGTTTAGGGGTGGACCTGGCAGTTAGGTTAACAGTTGGACTCGATGATCTCAAAGGTGCTTTCCAACCTTAACAATCCTATGAGTCTGTGATTCTGCTATTCCCTCTTGTGATCCCAAACTGTTTCTTTTTTTATTTCCTGAAAAGTTTTCTGTAAGGAAAACTCCTAAGGGAGCCTCACAACGCTGTGCCCAGCACCCACATAGACGTGACCTGATCAAATTGAACAGGAACCCCCCGAGAGGGCAGGCAGGGCCCCCAGCTGAGACCCCTGCCACGCGGCCTCGAGCCCCCTGCACGCCCCACACGACCTGGTTCCCAGGGCTCAGGCAGCACCGCCTGACCACTAATATATTTGACTTTTATTTAGACAATGGTTACATCGAAGGGAAGGAGCTTGACAATTTTTTTCATCATCTCCTGGAGAAACTGGGACCAGAAGTAAGTATCGCCCTGCGTTAGCTGTGCATCAAGTCCACGTAAAAAGGTCATTGCGTTGCGAGATGATTTGTATTTGTTGTTCTCCGATTGCTAGCTCCCCTAGCAATCCCCGAGGTAAAGAGCTTTTCTCTTGGCACCGAGGCGGCATTTAAGCAGGTGTGACAACAAGTGCAATCACCTGAGCAGTTCCATCGTTTGTTTTCAGTCCAACAGCAGCTGGCAGGGTGAGGCTGGAGCTGGCACCAGCTGAAGGGGCTGCTTGGAAGCGTGGAGAGAAAGTCATTTACTGCCGGTGAATAGAAAGAAATGAAAAAGCACCAGCACACAGTCTGGCAGGGCAAGGGGGAGGACAACGGTGATGATTTATTCAAGCGAGTGCCGATTACTTTTGTTAATATGATAGGTTTCTTTCCAAGGTCAATTTTTAATAATTATACCGTCATTAATTTTAAATGGTGCTTAGGAAGAAGACTTAAGTCTCTATTGCCGAAAATGGCTAGAAGCCAAGCAGGAATCAATTCTGTTGCTCATGAGGTCAAGACCTGGCTTTCAAGTGTTTCTGGGTTTCTCCCTTGGTTTCCTTTCCTACTTCTGCCAGCATTTCCCCTCTCCCACTCTCTGCATCTCAGTTCTCCCAG